AGTGGGGAAGGAGTCACTGCATTTTCTACAAGGTCAACACTGATCTCCTATGAGAATTTCAGCAGTATTCTTAAAAACATCCCCTAACATCCAGTAAATAACAATTAAAAAAGAAGCAATCTGAACAACATCACCAATAAATTGTGATAAATTGTACATATTGCATTAGTAGCAGTTTAAACAGCCCGTGCACTCAGCATTAATATAAAAATAAAACTGCTTCTCAATAAAGTGTTTTATCACATTACATTATTTTTATTGCATGTTCATTACATTACTTCCTTAAAGCCAGGCAGAAAAAAAATTACCTTTTCTAGCAGCTCTACCTTAATTTTCTACAGATTATGTAGAGATTTTGATTAGCACAAAAACAATCAAAAATTCTGCTATTTTAAGAAACCTGTTTTAAGTATTCTGTTATCACACTTTCTGAGCTAAAAGTAAGTTAATATAAAAAAAAAAAAACAACTATAATGAAGAGTCTGAGAAAAGAGCTACTTGAAAGAGGCAAGCAGAAGAGATACCAACAACCTAAAAAGACCTCAAAAGCAGAAATTCTTTCATATTCTTTTACGTATACACACATATTTATATATTTTACATTTCTCTATTTCAAACCCCTATCTTGATCCATTTAGAAGGCAGCTCTGAAAACCTTTTATGGCAGAAATATCATTATCTCTTGATTTCTAGGGGGAAAAAAAGCCTTGTGCCAGCAGTTTTTTAATGAAATTTCATAGAGGTGAAAATAGTTCATCATAGTTTATGAAAACTCCATTGGAACTCAGGTCATAAGACATTCACAGGCTGTATATTGTCACCTAACAACTGGAAATCTGATCCTGAACATCTCCAATGCAATTGCCTTCTCTTGAAAAACAAACCTATCAATGACCACCAGAGAATTAAAATTAACACCCCACATGAGGAGGAGAATAAAGACTTTTTACAGACTGGGGAGGATTTTTACACAACAATTCCTCTATGAAGCCACTTTACAGCTGCTTAAAATCTTATTTTTGAAAAAAAAAATCAAAGTGAAAAAGATCATGCTAATCATCTTTCCTATGACTATTCTTTATTCAGCTGAAACTGTTCAATCGCTTTCAAGGATGACAAGAATGACAAATATTATTTCTATTTTTATAAAAATCTTACAGCTATTCTACAGAAAGGCTCCAAAATCTCCACCATTTTGAAGGGGGCACAGACACACCTACTACCACCTTCTGGGTGTGCTGTATACAACTTCTGCTAAGCTCAGGCCTCAAAAATGCTTCATTTTAGGCAGGAGTGTAGAGCTGCTGGAGTTTACCAGGTACACTCCACAGGGCCAAGCAGAAGTTCTGATGCAAGCACAGCTCTGGCTGCTGGAGGTCAGTGTGGCCTCACACGCAGGAAATGTCCTCAGAGAGCTGTGATAAGACAGAGGAAGGAGGATGAAGATAAGAGAGAGGAAGGAGGAAGAAGTGGAATCTTTCAATAGTGTAAAGAGATGCAGAGAGGGGGAAAAAGTTGAGGGCAGGGGGATAGAGAACTTGGAAGAAGAAAAAAAATAAAATTAAGAAAGGTGAAAAACAGGAAAAGGGATTGCAACTGGTACAGAATAATCAGGTTCTCACATAGACTGAATTTTTTGATTACTTTACTTCTTGGTGTAACATTCCTTTGGTGTGTACAAACAAGCTGCAGTCTTCAACAACAAAGCACCTTTCTCAACCACTAATACAAATCCATGCAGACAATAGCTGTCTGGCAGTATTAGTGATCTAACTGGTTCAAAGGGCACAAGACTGCCTCTGGATCCAAGCTCCCAACTATGGTGACAGCAGAGGTGATCAGTGTGATTTCACATAAACAACAGCAACATTTCCTCTCCCTTTCCCAAGAGAATAGCTTAAACAATACCTTAGAAAATATCAAGATGAAAAAATACCGATGAAAAAAGTGTTTAAACACTATGACGAAGGCTCCACCTGCTTAGCTTCATGGCAGCATTGTTACACAGGTGCCATACCTCATTTAATGCACTGAACTGTCTGTGCTTTGAACATGAGCAAAGACTGCACAGCACAAGAGAGGATTTTCCATCTTCTACTGCAGAAGCTGGAAGGTGTGTCCCAAACAACACAAGGAGTTGCACAAGTTGCTTGGTGATGATGGCAGGTAAATGCTGCTCTCTAGAATCAGGCTTGTACTCTTGCATTTTCTAAATTTGGTAAGCAGTACATTTCAAACCAGGTTTTCCCCAAGGAACTACCATACCTACTTTGTTTTCTGCACCTTCAACTTCAGGAGGACATTCTGATGTGTGGGTGCTCTGAGCTCTTGCAAATGAGACTCAGGAGTTCCCCAATCACATGCAAGTCTAAGTAGCATCAAAATAAAAATAGAACAAAACAAACCCAACCCAAAAGCAACAACAAACAACCTCCCCACAAAACACCACCTCTTCATTTCTCAGACATTTAAAAACAGGGACCAAGCTTGTTCCACTGTATTCATGATTACATTTAAGGTCTTTGCCTTATCTTCCCCTTTTACCTTGTAGAGAACACCATTATCTCACCCAACTCTCCTAGCAAGTGCATTTTGAGTGCAAATTAATTTATTTTAGGGCACTCCACCTATAATGTCATAGAAGAGCTCATAAAACATCAGTTAAGCAAAGTATTTTTTATAAGGTTTGGGGCATGTGCTGTAAAAAATCTTGGGTCCCCAGACTGGATTAATGTAAAAGTATGTATAACCTACATGCCTACATATACACACATGCACAGTGTTGGCCTAGTAATACTCTGCAGTGCCATACAGAAAATATAAATCGTTAAAATGCAAGGCACATAGGCAATTTAAAAATCAAACTTCAGGAATCTCAACAGTATAGTACAAAAAGAATTCACCTATTCTCATCATCATCTAAGACATCTTTCAAAAATGCTGCATTAAAAATGCTTTTAATAAAGCTGTTTTCATTTGATATCTCCTAGAAGTTCTGCTCCTAACTTCACTTCCTAGTGCAATTTCTCTGTTTTTAAACTACAAGAATCGCCATTTAAAGATATGAACAACAATGAACCCGTATCTACCTTCCTTCCACTCCCATTTTGCAAAGAAACATCAGACTGACTCACGATGATTTGGGAAAGTCATCATCCAAATGAGCTTTAAAGAAGCCAACGTGAAGGATCACAGCCCAGGGGAAGTATGGGTGGGTAAAAATTAAAAATATGGCCTTTGCTACCAAGTTAGAGTGTTCAAAAACCTTTCTAGACCTTTATCAATGCAAGTTACTTCACTGGTCCTTTATTGCTTTCCTTGATCTTTTCCACCATGAACCTAAAAAAAGGCTAATATTCGGATGACAGATTAAAGAGAAATTAGAGAAGTCTTACTGTTTCACAGTACAAAGTCAGTAAGAAATAAATGCACAGGAAGAGTATAAGAAAACAAAAATAATATTAAAAAAAAATATTTCCTATGACTTGCCTTACTGAATACAGATTTTTCTCCATTCAGCAGTTCCAAACCCCACATCCCGATAGAGCACTATGTTTAAAAATCTTATCTGTTGTGACAGAAGACAGAAGTTGAGGGCTGTGTCAGCGAGCAGCCAAACCAACCCTAACAGAGCCTTCTCCAATGCCCCCAATTAAACGTGCCGGTGTGGGATGCCGGCCTAGTGCCAGCAGCACCGGAGTTCACCCGGATCAATACAGCTGAATGAGCTGCACAGGGATGAACGCATTTCAGCATGAACGGGAAAACTAACTGAAAGTCGATAGTGAAAAGCTAGTGCTTAATCCTGTAACGCACAGGTAGGGCAGTTGTGCATCCGTTCCGATAGTAGCCCGCCAACTAATCTCTCAAAGAACAAAGGGACTATTTATTTCCTACGACATTCCCAACATCACCGTATTACAACAGGTAAAAATGTGTAAAATGTCTTCCCCCGTAACGCATTATAACGCAGTGGTTTCGGTGATGCTGCTCTCATGTTCCCCCGCGGTCCAGCAGCATTTCCGCTGCCCTGCGCGAAGCGGGCGGCCTGGGGACACCCAAACGCCGCTGCTGCGGAGCACCGTCCGCCGCTGCCTCCAGACGCCGGCCAGTGGGTGCACCAGGCACCTACAAACAGCCGCTGGCTTCTTTTGTTCCCTGCTATCCGTCATTTTCCGCCGGGCACCGCGCTGGGCAGAGGGAGCCGCGGGCAGCGGCGCTCCAGCGACGCCCCGGGGCGCATCACTCGGCGAACCCGCGCCTGGCACCGCCGCTGCCTCGCCCCGCATAATGGGACAATTCATCCCGCACCCTCCCGCCCCGCACAGGTAACGGGCGCTGCCCACCGCGGGCCGGGCATCCAGCGCATCCCCTTCCCGAAGCCCGCGGGTGACACCTCACGGGCAGCGGCTGCCGAGCGCGGCCGACCCCGCGGCTCCGCCGACCCCGCGCCACGGCCCCGGCGGCCGCCCCTGCCCGGCAGGGCGGTGCTGGCGGCGCGGGTCAGCCCAGCACAGCCCGGCACCGCCCGGCACAGCCCCGCCGGCCGCCCCGCGCTCTCCGCAGCTCTCCCCGCCGCAGCCCCTCGGAGCGCAACCTGCGCGCCCGGGGTGGAGGTCCCTCATCTCTCCGCCCGGCCCGGCCCGGCCCGGAGCCACCACATCCCAGATGGCCGGGAGGGCTGTGCCCGGCGGGAAGGTGGCGAGGCCGCGCAGCCGGTGCACGGGGAGGGCTCGTAACCGTGTCAGCCCCGTGCGGGATCACCCACCGCGGCAGCACCGAGGGGCGCCCCGCCACCACCCCCGACCTCTCCGCCCGTCACATGAAAGCAATTATTGCCTCGGCCGGGGGAGGGGAGAAGTTAAAAGCCGTGAGCCGAAGGAGCGGAGGCCGGTGGCGGCCACGTCCCTCCCGCCGCCCCCAGCGGCACCCGCACCCCACCCGCCCCCAGGGAGCCCCAGCCGGCCCGCGGCACCGCCACCGCGGCAGCCTGGACTCACCCATTTATGTCGAGCTGGGCTTCGCCGGGCAGCGAGAACAGGCTGAAAGTTTGGGGCGGGTGGCCACGGCGAAGGCAGGGGGCGAGGGACCGCCCGAGCCGCCGCCGCGCGGAGCGGAGGCGCTGACAGAGCCGCTCCCTCCTCCGGCGGCCGCCGCGCTCAGCACCCGCCGCAGCCGGGCTGCATCCTGCGGGCAGCGCCGCGGCTCCCTCGGCGTGTGCGGGGAAAAGAAAATACACAGAAATGAGGCGAGAGAACGGGCTCAGCCTTCACCTCCTGCAGCCACCTGGGGCCCCGATGCCGCGGGGCAGAGCAGCCCGGGGAGAACGCGCCGGGGGGGGGGGCTCGAGCCGGGGGTGGCCGAGCCGGGCGGGCGGTGCGAGGGCGCGGGAGCGGCTCGGGCTCGGAGCGCGGGCAGCGATCGCCGCTGCTGCTGCTGCTGCCGCCGCTGCTGCCGCCGCTGCTGCCGGGGCGAGCGGCCGCTCCGGCTCCGGCTCCGGCTCCGGCTCCGCGCTGCGGGAAGTGTCGCGAGACTGCGCCAGAGCCGCTGCGCCGCCTCGGGCCGGCGGGAGCGGCAGGGAAGGAGGGCGGGGAGCGGGGGAGGGAGCGGGGCCGTGGTCCCGGCGGGGGCAGGGGCGGCGGGGAAGGGGGTGGTTCCCTCCCTCTCCGGCCAGGACTCGTCGGCCGGGCATGGGGAGGGACAGGGGCTCGCCCCGTGTGGGCGCTGGGGGAGGACGGAGGGCGCTCCCGCGCGGCGGGACGGGCGGTCGGTACCTGGGATTCCTGGCACACACACCTGCCCCGTCCGCTCACGGTCCCGGGAGCTGTGCCCGGTCCTGCCCCCGGGCCCTGCCTTCAGGGATACGCGCTGGCACCTCCGCCAGTGCCCCTCCTGTCTCCCTGGCCCTGCCCGTGAGAGAAGGGGGCAGGAGGGGGACAACCTTCCTTCCCCACACCCTCACAGGTTTGGCTTTAGAGGCCGGCAGGGAAGGCAGGAAAGACGGAAGAAAAGACAGAAAAAGATGCATGTATGGTGCTGTTGATGTTTCACTAAAAAGAGGAGAGGCGCACAGGAGCACTGACTGTTCTTACTGCAGGGAGATGAGAAGCCCCTGCTCCAGTAACACTGAGGGAAAGGGAGAGCAGTCACTGCGCACACATCAATGACATGACTACCCAGAAAGGCACCGATTGAGGGGGGAGAGGCTTCTGCACAGGCACCTCTTCTCACAGGTCTTTACCCTTGGAAATAAACTACGGTAGTAGTAGAAGAGAAGCGCAGATTTAAAAAAAAAACAAAAAAAAAAAAAAAAAAAA